GAAAAACTTTTAGTTTTAAATCTCTATTGTCACCATTATCTAAGTCTTCCTGCAAATTCGATTCAATGTGCAATAAATTATTGAAAAATATTTACCACATATGAGAGGACTCCGAAAAGTTTATGGAAATGTAATTGAAAGATTAAAATTAAAAATATAAAACTTATTTCTCCACATAAGCTCCATCAAGTTCAAGATGTCTTAGTAAGCAAGAATATCATTGATTTCATCCACCCGTTAGATGAAGGGTCTCGGGAATTTATGTTAATGCAATGTTTTTTATATTGTTGAATGAAGGCTGGTAAACAAAAAGAAGTCAGAAAGAGTCAACTCAGAAATACAAAGTGGATGCCTAGCAACTTTCCAGGAAAGCTCTTGGAAAACTTCCTGCATTTAGTAAGAGGGATAAGGGGAATACTGTCATGGCGAAGAACTATCCCACCCTCTGAAACTGTACCTTTCATAGATGTGTGTATATATAATAACTATCTTTAATATATAAATAACTGTACCTTTCATATATACATATATATTCATTCAAAATGAACATTTTTTAAAAAGATGTATTTATTTTCATTGGAATGACAAACCTACAAAGAGAAAGGGAGAAAGATCCTCCATCACTGGTTCACTTCCCAAACTGCTGCAATGGTTGCAGTCAAGCCAATCAAGCCAGTAGCCTTTTCCAGGTTTCCCATGTGGGTGCAGGGTCCCAAGGCAATGGCTCATTTCCATTACTTTCCAGTCTACAAGGAGGAAGCTGGGTCAGAGGTGGAGCAGCTGGGACGCAAACCGAAACCCATAGGGGATATCAGCACTTAGAGACAGAGGACCAGCCAGCTGAGTCAACTCGCCGGACTCTCATGTGATTTTCACTTGCATTTCCCTAATACTTAGGGAGCCTGAGCACTTTTTCACATGTCTATTAGCCATTTAAATTTGTTGTTTCAGGAAATGCCTTCTCATTTCCTTAACCCGTTACTTACCAGGGTTCTTAACTTTGTTGTTGAGTTTCTGAAGCTCTTGTAAATCCTGATATTACTCCCCAATTTGTTGGATAGTATGCAAAAATTTTCTCCTATTCTTTTTTTTTAAGATTTGTTTTTATTATTTTTTTATTGGAAAGGCGGATATACAGAGAGGAGAGACAGAGAGGAAGATCTTCCGTCCGATGATTCACTCCCCAAGTGAGCGCAACGGCCGATACTATGCCAACCCGAAGCCAGGAGCCTCCTCCGGGTCTCCCACGCGGGTGCAGGGTCCCAAAGCTTTGGGCCGTCCTCGACTGCTTTCCTGGGCCCCATGCAGGGAGCTGGAAGGGAAGTGGAGCTGCCGGGATTAGAACCGGCGCCCATATGGGATCCCGGGCGTGCAAGGAGAGGACCTTAACCACTTGGGCCACCACACCGGGCCCATTTTCTCCTATTCTTTTGGTTGCCTCTGCTTCATTAATTGTTTTCTTTGCTATACAGAAGATTCTTAGTCTTACCTAGCTCCCTGTTAATGTGGCTAGGAAGGCAGAGTAGGATGGTCCAAGTCCACGGGCCTCTAACCCACGTTGGAGACCCAAATGAAGCTCTTCTGGCTTCAGCCTGGACCAGACCTGGCTATCACAACTATTTGGGGAGTGAACCAATAAATGGAAGATTTCTCTTTCTTTCTCTCTCTCTCTCTCTCGTCACCCACCACCCTTTTATTTCTCTTACTGACAGTATCTTTCAAATAAATAGAATAAATCTTAAAAAACAAATATGGATTGTGATAAACAGACTAACATCATGCTAAAAAGAGGGGAAGCTGGGAGTGTGATATAACTGTAGAACTGTATAATTTCGTAAATTTAAAACTATTTTCAAATAAAAGTTTTTATAGAAGGTTTTTAAAAAGTAAGTAAAGATCAGAATGAGAAATGAAAACACAAGGAGATCATAAACATTAAGTAAGATCTAAGATATGCAAGGATAGATCTTTTCAATGAAATAATAACTATAAATACATTTCTCAGAATTAAAGAAAATGCTTTTGAAAGTCAGATATAAAGGATTCAAAATAATTCCCAAACCCATAACTAAAGACACAGTGACATTTAACATTTATAGAAGTCAATTCTGGCAATGGTCAAAACCACTCGTGTGCTTAGCATTTTAAAACCATTTGGGAGTCACATTTTTTAAAGAGTTATTTACTTGAGACATTTACACAGAGAGAAGGAGAATAAGAATTACATAGAGAGGAAAGATTCAGAAAGAGAGAGGTCTTCAATCTGCTGGTTCACTTTCCAAATGGCTGTGAAGCCAGGAGCCAGGAGCTTCTTACAACTCTCCTTCATGAGTACTGGGGACCAAAGACTCCAGGTCATCTTCCCCTGCTTTCCCTAGATCACTAGCAGGAAGCTGGATTGGAAGAGCAGTAGACAGAACACCATGCGAAGCCCATACGAGATGCAGACATTTCGGCTTTACCCACTACATCACAGCGCCAGTTCCAACACATTTTTTCATAAAGTTTACCTTTTCGCTCTGGATCCACTGAATTCTGGAACTAAACAACGAGATTAGAAATCTGAGAGCATATTAATGGTTTTGCTTTTTTAAATGACTTGTTTTGTCTTGTTTTGTTTTGTTTTCCTTGGAGCAGGGAGATGAGGCAACAGTTTGAAATCTGGTCACTGAAAAAATTCTCAAGGGTCTGAAGGACTTCCAGGAATCAGTTCACCACAACGTGTAAAAAGTCTCAAACCGAGACCGCCATATTCTCTCCAGAAAATAAACTAGCATCTCCTGTATGAATGAAAAGACAGTCCATGCTTCAAGAAGTGGAGGAACGGGTACAAAGACCTATGTTTTTTTGTGTGTGTTTCATATTAAGAAAGTGTATTGCAGGACATTTCTTTTTTCAGAAGATTTATTTTTTTTTAGTTTTTATAGGAAAATCATATATACAAAGAGAAGGAGAGACAGAAGTCTGTTGAATAACTCCCAATGTGGCTGCAATGGCCAGAGCTGCGCTAACCCGAAGCCAGGAGCCTGGAGCCTCTTCCAGGTCCCTCACACAGTGGCAGAGTCTGAAGATTTGGGGCCGTCCTTGACTGCTTTCCCAGCCCACAAGCAGGGAGCTAGATGGGAAGTGGGGCTGCCGGGATTAGAACTGGCACCTATATGGGATCCTGGCACATGCAAGGCAAGGAGTTTAGCCACTAGGCCACCGTGCCAGGCCCAGGACATTTCTAACTTCTACAAAAGCAGCAGGAAAAGTACAAGACGCTCCCTCACAAGCATCCCAAAATCCAGCTGATCCTACTGAGACTTCTAGCAACCCAGGTGCTGAAGGCCACCTGCATCCCCTCCTGCACAGACGCCTGGCTTCTCACATTTCTCCATCACTGATACAGGATGCTGTTTTTTGAACCTTTAAGGTCAGTTTAACTCACCTCTACTCTTTCTAGTATCAAAAAGCTACTTCTCTCCCATTATCCCTGTCCACTTAGGGTTCCACTTTATCCCTTTAGGTCTTTTTGTGGGCAGGAATGGAGGTCAAAAGTGGGATTAATGCTCCATTTTCAAGCAGATACTGAAAAATCTCTTAAACTGAGGCTTTCTTTCTCATTAGCTGTGCCATTCTTGATTATATTTCATATATGATACACTTTTAAAGATAACAATAACAACTACCTATCATGTTATTATGCATGTTTATATACCTTGATTCACATGCATCAAATCACTTACCATATCTAACACTTTTCACTTCGTTATACTACAGTTACCTTACCCCACAGTTGAGTGAAACACACATGAAGAGCTTACCAGCCACTCAGGAGATGCAAATGGGACCAAGAGTGACCCTAAAGCCCAGCTTCCAGATTACTGTGTATGCTTCCATTTTTCACCTTCTAAGTCACATCTCAGAGTTCCAGGTAACTGAACATAAGACATATCTACAACGTATGCCATGGTAACTAACTCTTGCTCCAATCCCACAGGTTCAAAATCAAGAAAGTATCTGAACCAAGCCAGGCAGGCCTGGGAATCTGTGAATGGTGAATGAGAGGTGGCTTCACAGTTGCTGAACAGATGGAAGATGGCCCATGCTTCATGCATTGGAGGAGAAGATATAAATACCTGGTGGGTTTGTCATATTCTTTTATTTTCAAAAGTTGTTTTGTATTACTCCCATCTACAAAAACGAAGGAGAATTACACTAATGCCCTTTCTGCCAAGGCTGAGCCCTTGGTGAGGTTAAATGACACACTGGTGGTAGCTAGACAGGAAGCTCACGTGCATGGCATGTGAGAAGCCCTTCCCCTGTGCTGAGGGGCCCACCGACAGAGCTATTCCAGATGTGTGCCCCTTGGAAGCCTGCAAACTCTGGAAAGCTGGCAGTGCTCATTCCTTTAGATGCACACTCTGCAGCCACGTGTGCAGCAAGCACAGTCTCTCAGTGGATCCTTCAGATCCCTGCGCATTGCGGAGAACACCGCTGGTGTTGCTGCAGTGCAACCTGGCTGTGGGATCTGCTTTTGGATCCACTTGAAAAGGAACTTCTTGCTTTACCCATGTGATACGTGTGTCTGCTCCCTCAGTGGAGATGATACGCTAACAGTTTGTCAGGATGGTCCCACCATGGCTATCTCTGAAATTAATATCCTTTACGAGTATTGAATATTCTTAGAAAAATCCATCAGGTTTTCAGTTTTATAAAAAATGATACCAAAAAAAAAGGCAAGAAAAATTACATCAGAATGTGAATGGAAAAAAAGTTTGCAAAGAGTTCTGAGGGTTTATAAAGGAGATGGCATCAAAAATGTGGAGCCAAATCCTCCAGCAAACATCAAGGGGCTGTCCACTGTCACATACAAATCTGTTCCAAGCATGAAGATAAAATGCTTCCTTTTAATTCTATAGCACACTTATTTATATGCACTTCACAGAAGCATGAGCACATGGAAATTGAAAAAGAGTTTCTAAAAATGTAATGGAAAGAGAAAAAAAATTACTTACTGTAGACAGTGTTTGAGCCACGTATTCGCCCTCCATTTTGCTCAGACGTATGTTTGTGTCCTCAAGCAATTCTTGAATATTTTCAGTGTGTCGCTTTTGAAGATCAAACTTCTCCTTTTCCATTTCTGCTACAGCATTGTGGAGCTGCACGACGCAATCGAGAGTGAATCCTTTCACTACGGTACATACTATTTTGTCATTCAGAAAATAAACGTTTTCCTGTATTCCCTACTCAAATATATGATGAAATGCCCAACGAAAGATATAAAAATCTACAAATAACATTTAAAGTAAAGCTATCATACAAAGAACATGATTAAGAAACACGGTTTCCTCCTTTACTTTCGGGAACTGCCCATCTCAGCGGCTAAGCCGAAGGGGAGGCTCTGGATTGGGTGAGCACATCAGTCCAGCACTGCCACTAAGCGACAGCAGTGCTCATCTGAAACCAAAACACACCAACAACCAAATACATCATGGGTCACTAATATCTTCCTTTATCATTTCATTTATATAAATTCTGCACAACAGCAATGTGGGAGAAAAATGCTTTCTCCTCAACCAAAAGACCCAAGAAACGACTTTTAGCTGATTTACAATCTGCGTGTGAGCAGACATCCTGACCACATTTGTAAGTCGGACAGAGTGAGCAGGATGACTGGGCACCACTCGGTTCCATTTGCATGACATACGTAGATCCTTACTGACAGACCTTTGTGTTTATATTTAAATGCATAAATCTTTCACACAGTGAAGTAAATTCATGTTTTCTAAAATATTTATTTATTTTTATTGGATAGTCAGAGAGAAGGAGAGACAGAGAGGAAGATCTTCCATTCACTGGTTCACTCCCTAAGTAGCTGCAATGACTGGAGCTGAGTCAGTCTGAAGGCAGCAGTCAGAAGATTCTTCCAGATCTCCCACATTGGTGTAGGGTCCCAAGGTCTTGGGCTGTGCCCTTCTGCTTTCCTAGGACACAGGCAGGGAGCTGGATAGGAAGCAGGCCACTGGGACATGAGCCAGCATGTGCAAGGCGAGGACCCCAGTCACCAGGCTAATGCACGGTAGGTTTCATTTAGTGAAAGAGAGAGAGAAGCAGGGAAGGAAGGAAGGAAGGGAGGGAGGGAGGGAGGGAGGGAGGGAGGGAGGGAGGGAGGAAGGAAGGAAGGAAGGAAGGAAGGAAGGAAGGAAGGAAGGAAGGAAGGAAGGAAGGTAGGAAAAGAAAGAGCAAGCAAAGCCAAACATAAGAGAATGAGAAGTTTGATGGTTGGCTTTCAAAGGGGACTGAAAATTTATTCTCCCATCCCTGTGAGCACTTTATCTGCTTTGAACTCCTATTCCCTACATTTACCCCAGGGCCACCCCAGAGGTGTGGCAGTCAAGAGCCCAAATAGGTCTACATCACTTATTTGATGCACTGTCCTTGAACAGGAAGGAGATATGGACATGACAGGTAGTGTGGAAAGATGATTGACTAGAAAGATAACTGGAAAACAAGGTAAACTAAAGGAGATTAGAAACTAGAAGCAGAATACAAGCAATAATTCTGATCATAGCACAGGTGAGACCCTGGGGAACTTTTCTTTCTAAATGAACAGGAGCAGTTAGGATGGCTCAGAAATAGCTACACACAAGAATGTTGGGTTTCACAAATTTAACACAGGCACTTTTAATGATTTCTAACAGGTCCTCAAACATAAGTAGTCTACCTTCCATTTTTGCTAAAACATATTTTTTCTTTTTTATTATTTATGATATAATTCAAAAGGCTCTGAGATTTCTCTTACCACCTCTCCAAATCTCCACCCCTGCAAATATTTCTATATTATTACAATGGTACAGTTCTTTATAAACAGTCATAAGCCCATCGTTCTGCTATCTAAGTGTATCCTGATATTGCGGGCAATGACACTAGCAGAGTCCAGCATCCTATTCTCAAGATATATCCAAAAGTTACATTGGGAGTCCATCCTTGAACTGGATGTAGAGGTGCTCACTACCTTTTAGACTCACATCTCGATATGCTAGTCTCCATTACACAGTTATTATATATCCCCTTAAATGAAAGGCCATAATAAAATATTAACAACAGGAAGAAAAATATAAATTTACAACACCATGAAGCTTAATAACATGCTTTTACATGACCAGTGTGTTGCTGAAGAAATTAAAAAGAAAATCAAGAACCTTCCTGAAGAAAATGATGCTACTGTATGACCTATGAGTCAGTGAAGAGTTTAATGAGAAAAAAAAATTGTTTTGAAGAAATGAAAATAAAAACAAAACACTGAAAATCACAAGATACAGTTTCCATTGATCTTTATTAGTGAGATATGTTTCCTATAGGCAACAGACAGTTGGATTTTGTTTTTTGAGCCAGTCTACCAATCTATGGTGTTTGATTGATGAGTTTAAGCCATTTATATTCAGGGTTAATATAAATAGGTGGTAATTTGGTTCTGTCATTTCTGCACCTTCTGGGACTCCCAAAACTCTTATATTTAGCCTTTTCATAGTGTTTCATACTTCTTGAATACTTTTTTTTTCAGTTTGAACTAGATCCATCGCCAGCTTTTTAATCACTTCAGCAATGTAACAAGAACTATCTTCCAATTCTGAGACTCTTCCTTCTGCCTCACTCATTCTATTGTTGAGAGCTTCCAATGAATTTTTAAATTTGATCTATTGCACCCTTCATTCTTAATAATTCGGTTTGATTTTATTTCAGTGTTGCTATTTCCTGTGTGATATATTCCTTAAATTCCTTGAATTCCTATAAGTGCTTCTCTTCTCCTCTATGTAACCTCAGTTAGCTCTGAGGTTGGCAGAGGCTTTTACTCCTTTGCAGGCGAGTCTTCAGTAATATTCATTGTACCTCTGCCTCTTCTTTTGCTGTTGGTCACTGTACTTCTGGTTAGCAGATTCTTCTCCTTAGGACAGGTTTCCAAGTTATGTCATCCTCAGGTTTACACTTTAATTTTACTGATTGCAGTGATACCCAGTTCTTTGTTTGTAGTCACTTGTGCCACTCCCTCTAATGAGTTTCAGTTCTTGGCTCCGGTGTTAGGCTTTCACTCTGGTCTCCAAAGCCTTTGCTCCTGACTCACCACTCTCCACCTCCTGTGGCCAGGTGCTGAGGCTGCACCATTGACTTTACAACTTTCTCCCACTTCTGGTTCGAGCAGTTCCCAGGATTAGGGAGACATCAGGTGTCCTAAATAACTGGGATGTTGGTGGTGCTGATCTTACCAGAACCTGCTGGCTGTTAGATCTGAGGGCCACATGGATCTATTTTTTGTGGGACCCATAGGATGCCAAAGTGAGTATTATTTTCCCTGTGGGCCCAGTGCAATGCACTGAATTGGAAATAAGTTCACTCCCACCTTAGCATATACAGAGCTTACTATTGTCCTTCCAGTACCTCAGCCTTTGCCACACAACACAAAATGGTGCCAGATGTGGTACTGATGGAGTGTGAACTGTGAAATTATTTCCTGTTCCTCCATCACCTTCTTGGGATCTGCTGCTCTTTCTCTGCTGGTGGTCAGATCAAACAAATCAGCAAGACAGACAGTTCTTTGCCTGCATTCACCTCCTGAGCTCCTGGTGAACTCTCCTTCTCACCTGGCTGCTGCTGGAGCCCAGATCACCACTCACTGACTGCCGTGGGGCATCTGGTCACTACAACACCACTCCAGTGTCTCTGCTGCTTCCCTGTGTCCATCAGTGTCCAGTGTCCCCCTGCCATGGGTCTGTTCTCCCCTGTTTCCTGGAATCTCCTCTCTCTGCTTCAAGCTGGCTAATGGTTCTCTGTTTAAACATGTCTTTACCCTATTCCACCATCTTGATTCCTCCTAAAATAAATATATATATATTTTTAAACCAGTGTCATATCTAATATTTAATAGTTACTAAGGTGATAGAAGGACATAGCCAAGCCCACAGCACCTAATTCTCAGCACTCTTTCAAATATATATGTAAAATGATCCAAATATTAGTGACACTGTTTCCATAGATGTAAATTTCTACAATAATATCTAGTCTACATTTTGTAATATTTTAAATTTCAGAAAAGAAATACAAAAATGACTCAAATTCAAAATTAAACAGGATAGAGTTCTAGAAACTATCCTACTATTAGTTTCATAACAATTTTTGCTTAAAATATATGGGATATCATTTAAAAATTCAAAATAGGTACACTTAAGAATTAATCAAATATATTTTCTAAATGAAAACTACTTTTGGATCATAGACTTCCATAAGAAAATATATGTGAACAGTAGTTATTTCTAGAAATTTGTTCTAGGATTGATACTTCCATTTTATTTTTTCATATTTTTCTGTATATTCTATAATGCATATTATTTTCATGCTAAAATATTACTTAAAAACAAAAACTTTCATATTTTCCATGCTATTTGAAGTAGCTTACCTTTTTTTCCCAATCATTTTTTAGAGATTCAGTACTCTGTTCACATATCTTTTTTAGCTCTGAAATCTGGTTTTCTTTAGTCTCTCTAATGACTTGACAGTCGCGTACAAGGATCTGAACTGTCAAAAATGAAGAAAATATAGTTAAACCAATTCTATTCGGCACATAAAATTTGACAATATAAAACATGATGCATCAATACATTTTTAATTTAATTTTCATCAAGTCTTCTTAATTCTCTCTTCTAGAACATCCCTTATCCTTTGCTATTTTTTTTCCATGCCCATCACCATGAATGGCTTGGATGGAGTTCATCAGCACTCACTGCAGAGACAACATGAACAATGTGCCAGCTTCTCGTGTCATCCCCTCATCCCCCAGCACATGTGTGGTGAGTGTGCTCCCTGCTTTAAAATCCCTGTAGTTCTCCTTCCCTAAAGACTCCAGGGAAAAGCCATGCATAAGGAACACAGCTTCTCAGGACCCACTCCTTCTTCTGCATCTTCAGCCAGTAATATTAGGACATTAACCCAACTGTACATCTCTGAGGATGTACTGTGATAGATCCCTGCTACTGGGGTTGGGATACGATTATCCCTTAGAGTTCATGTTACAGGCTTGGTCCTTAGTGAGGTAGTGGAAATATGAAAAATGCCTGGTGGAAGTGCTTAGGTCAAATGGATGTGGGTTCTAGGAGGGCTGGTGGGACTCCAGTCTCTGTGGCTTCCCATTCTCATTATGTAATCTCTCACACATGTGTTCCCACCATGGTGCCAACTGCCATGATGTGACACAGCCAATCACCAGGGCTGATACCAGGTTGCTTGTACTTTAGGCCTATGAAGCCAAACTAAACAAACTCCTTTAGAGAATAACACATGTCAGGTACTTCATTATAGTTAAGAAAACAGAACAATACACATCTACTTCCTGAGTACGATCAGATGTTGACCTGAAATGCATTCCACCACTAACCAAGTGTCTATTTCTTTATAACCAGTTTCAACCACATTGCTTTCCTTCCAGTGACAGAAACTCCTGTTTTACCCCCAAGAACCTTACATGTTGATCCAATAAGTCCCATTATAATATGTTAAAAATGTTTTCCTGATTGCTCGTTAACAAGTCTATATTCTCTGAGAAGAAAGGCGTTTCAGTGTTTTATCCACAGAGTGTAACAGTGCCATACAATCAAGTACCAAGGAAGACAAGTACTCAATGACACACAAAGACTTTTCTTTAAGTTATACTTGCTCCTAGACACTTTAAGATGGTTTCCAACATTTTTGTGATTGAAATGTTTTAGGTTATATAAAATATTTCCCATATAAATGATTTATATTCCCTTCTGCTTTTTAAAATTCATTTAAAGTATCACTAATTTAAGTGAAAATCTGCATGTATTCAGTTCATCTGGAAGATAAAATAAATCAAGCTATATTTTTATTTGGATATTTACTTGCACTGAACATTATTTTCTTAGCTAATTGAATATGTTTTTATTAATCTACTAGCAGATAGCAAAATTTTAATAAGCATTTCCCTAGTAATTTCTTCCAGTTCTGTTCTCACTGCTGCCACTTCAAGCCCTTATGGTACAACTGAGAGCAGCACAGACACGTACCATCTTCAAGTCAGATGAAACTTTACTTACCCAGTTTCCCATTTGTAATGAAAAACAAAACAACACACACACACACACACACACACAAGGCCTGAGGCTTTCCTGATGTCATATACCAGGCACAGAAAAGCAGAACTGGACTCAGAGCTATTTTCTTACCTCTGACTACCATAACAGACTAGGAGGTTTAACACAGCTGCCTACCAGACTACTGCTACTATAACAGAGATCCTAAAACTCTCATCTCAGGGGCAGGTGTTGTAGCATATTGGATAAAGCTGTTGACTTGTGCTATCAGAGCCCCACAGTGAACACCAGTTTGAGTCCTACCTACCCCACCTGCAGTCCAGCTCCCTGCTAATCTACTTGGGAAAGCAGCAGAAGATGACACAAATGCCTGGGACCCAGAACCATGGGAGATCTAGAGGGAGCTCTAGGCTCCTAGCTTCAGCGTGGCCTAGGCCTGGCCTTATCGGTCATCTGGGGAGTGAACAAGCAGATGTAAGACCTATCTTTCCTCTCTTTATTCAAATAAATAAATCTTAAAATTGATAGTCACAAATATTTTTGGCTCCCTTCCCAGCACCTACAGAACAACGTTGAAACATCTAAATCTGAAATTCAGCCGCAAGTCAACCATCTCAATCATTTTAAATTCATCTCTGAATAATTAGGGAATGCACTATAGCTAAATAGTTTTTAGTCTCCTTTCTACAACCTACCGACTTCACAGAATTCTTATAAGTACCTGGAATCCTACTCTCCAGTAGTCATATCTTACAAAAGTGCTCTTCTACAAAAAAAAAAAAAAACTTTTTTCAACAGTCTACCTTTTGGTTTAGATATTTGAATCAGAATCATTAATTTAACACTTGGATTCTTTCTTTTCCTTCTGAATGATGGCAAACACTTGTTAAGGTTTTTTTCCCTATCAATCACAATACTAGCACTATGCAATAAGCCTTAAAGCTCACATATCCATTTTACCGGATGAAAAGGAATAATCCCCTTTATCTTCCTTATGATAGGCGGTAAACATGAATTCTATTGCAGCCCACAACTGAGCTACAGCAGCTATTTGCCAATGAAGAAAAAAAGACTAAGAACTGACAAGTACCTGCTTCCAAAACTCAGCAAAACTACTGGTGCCACCACACGACACTGACACAGTCAACCAGCTCTAAACCATCATCTAGAAGCCACTGATGGAAACCCACATAAACATCATCTCGCTCTAGGAAAGGCTCCCCATCACATCTTACTTTTCTCCATCACCAAAGAATAAAATGCAAATGTTATTGAAAAATTTACATAATAACATAACATCACCTTTCTTTTCAAGCTTTCTAATAGTCTCCTCAGTTTCACTTTGCTTCTTTTTGTATAAAATTTTCAATTCTTCTATTTCATTATTCTTTCGTTCTAAAATCTGCAAATAAAATGTGTTAGTACACTTTATTATACAAAACACATTTTTAAATGAGCACAATACTTTCCCAAGTTCAACTCAGTTAATCTAGCAAATGATTTATCCAAAAAACCCTGAAACTTCTGGCTCCCAGCTTTCAACCAGACCAGCTACGGCCATTGCAGTCATTTGAGAGTTGAACCAACAGTTAGAATATATCTCGCTCTGTCTCCTTCTCTTCCTCTGTAACTCTTTCAAATAAAAATAATATGTCTTTTAAAAGAAAAAGAAAAATTAGAAAGTTAGTAAAAGGGCAGCTTTGAGGGAGGGAGGATGAGGTGGGAAGTATCATTATCCTCTTAAAACTATAAATATGAAATACATGAAATCTGCTCCCTTTATGCAAAGATACAGCTTGAAACAATGGAAGGCCTAATCTCGGTGGGCTGCATATAAAAGGAGTCTTGTCATCACTGTCAGCTTTACTAAGGATGCAATCTATACCAACAGAACTGATATAAAAAGCTCCTTTTAAATGAAAAAGAAAATGTAATTACTAGAAAACTGAAAGAATATTAAGACAAAATGAACCCAAGCATTTACAGTTGAGATCCTATTTCAACTTTAATGAAAGGCAATGACAGAAGGCAGTTCAAGAATTACAAGATAGCCAACTTTAAATAAAGAACTGAAAGGTAATGAGAACACAAGGATTGAAATAAACATAAGGTTTGGCAAATGAAGGTTAAAATTCAGCTTTTGCAGAGATATTACCTTTGCAAATTCCATTTTTTAACAGGACCACCTTTAAGCATCTACGTAAGTGGATCAATAGCTGAATGCATGGATACTCAAAACACCTAGAATATTCTGAATATTCAATGGAAATAAATCAGTAAGTAATGCATATCATACCTTCTGAACATCAGCATCATGTTTCTGTTGCAGTTTAAGTTTTTCTTCATGAAAATTAGCTTCCATCATTTTTGACTTCATGTCCAACTTCAAGAAAATATTTAAAAGGTGTTATTTACTTTTCCCAGTGGCAAAAAAAACCCACTGATTTAAATTAAAACAACTCTATGACAGACAGTTTCATCTTCTACTTTATTTTGTAAGCACAAATCACACACCACATAGCCTAGCATATTAATTATATTCTTTAAAATACTTTCAAATTGAAAGTCTTCAACAGGAAATTTCACTTCACAGCCAAACTGACCATCCTAACACAGACTCATGAGTTTTCCTCTTCTCCAATCAAAACTATTTTTAAAAATCATTTTAAAGTGGCCCTTTGTATTTACTTTGAAACCTACGCAGTGTTTTAGCCTCTGCTGTTTTTCACGTCAGTGTCTTCGGGCAGCTTTTGTTTCACATTTATGCGTTCAGAGAAATGGCCAAGCATTGCCAAATACACACTCTTTCAACTGTTTCCCAGTTGTCTCTTCCAGCATCAGGATGCACCTGAGGTGGTGACGCCATCTCTTTAGCACCTTCCGTAACGCTTACCTTTTCCCGAGCAGCACAACATGCACTTCTAACTTTAACCCCACTAACAGCAAGCATTATTACTTTTGTACATCATCGCTTCTACATAATTCTTCTTTTGATAATTAAAGAAAATTATTTTTACCTCAGTTGATTGTGAAAGTTATATTCAATGAAATAATTTAAGTGACCCTATTTAAATTAGTACAATTCATAATACAAAGTCAGCAGTCTGCAATCTTCAAGAGATTTTTGTTTAATTGTAGAAATTCATTAGCAAAATGTTTTTTAATGTTTTTTTTTTTTTGGAAAGTCAGATTTACACAGAGAAGCAGAGACAGAGACAAAGATCCTCTGTACACGGATTCACTCCCCAAGTGGCCACTAGGGTGGAGCTGCGCAAATACAAAGCTAAGAGCCAAGAGCTTCTTCCAGGTCTCCCACGGGGTCCCCGACTGCTGTCCCAGGCCACAAGCAGGGAGCTGGATGAGAAGCAGGGCCACCAGGATTAGAACCGGTGCCCATATGGAGTCCTGGCATACGCAAGGTGAGGATTTACACCAGACCCAGCAAAATATTTACTTATAAACTTGAGGCTTACTTTCTTTATACTGTCAGTTACTGTTAAGCACATATCAACATATCAAAATAAAACCCTAAAACCTTACAAAAAAAAGTTAACATCAAACAGATTCATAACAACTTTTATAAGTTGATGAATAGTGGATAAGGAGACAATTATTGATTTACTAAGCAAAGGCAAAAATTCTTAATGTTTCTATTCTCTTGCCTCTAAACCATGTTATTCTTTTTTTATTTTTTCATTTTTTAAAGATTTATTTGTTTTTATTGGAAAGGCAGATATACAGAGAGCAGGAGAGACAGAGATGATTCACACCCTAAGTGACCGCAATGGCCAGAGCTGAGCCAATCCGGAGCCAGGAGCCAGGAGCTTTTCCAGGTCTCCCATGCAGGTGCAGGGTTACAAGGCTTTGGGCCATCTTCGACTACTTTCCCAGGCCACAAGCAGGGAGCTGGATGGGAAGCAGGGCCTCCAGGATTAGAACCAGCAACCTTATGGGATCCCAATGCATGCAAGGCTTGGACCTTAACCACCAGGGCTATTGTGCTGGGCCCCATGTAATTCTCCTCAATTCTGCATAAATAGGTACAGGTGAACTAATTCCTGGTGAAGGTCATGGTCAGAGCACTACCAAGGTTATTAAAGAGAGATTAAATCAAAAAAGCACTATGAGAAATTTGGCAGATTTAGGGAGCATAATTTATTGGTATATCTTTCCATAATTCCACCTATTGAATCGGTAATGCCCTCAGTTTTTAAAAGCTAAACATAAATACTACATAACTGTTCTGCCACACCTAAAGCCACAACCTTTACCTGCCCACACCAATCCCCACTGACCAAATCAACAATAAAACCTGTCACCCATTTCAGAAGTCCACTGAGTAGCAAATAATCATGGATATTCATTCTGTCCCCCGCCCCCCCGTTCTTCCCTCTCTGTCTCCAGAATCTGAACTAACACAGGAAGTTATCCATCTCTTGGAGAAATCCCAAATTCCGGAGTTCAGCAGCCAGTACATAGCGATGAATGTAGTACATGGAAGAGAGCAAGACAAATATACAAACACAGCAAAGTGTTAGAAAGCACACAGAATCTGAAATAAAAAGGAAGCAACTCCAGGTTCCAGAGGGCTTGATGGCATCAGGCTTACAAGAATCGAAAAAGATTTCTGTGTTTCTGTTTATTTTTAGCCTGATCCAAGAATCTCTATTCTTGCCATCGAAGAGACCCATTCTATTTTTCTGCTTGTAAATTATTACTTTTACCTTCATATAACATGAGACCTAAAGAAAAGTTATAATAGTAGTACAGGAATTCCCACACACCTTTTACTCGAATACATTAATTTTTTACATATTGTTCCTTGAGTTTCATCATTTTGCATCTATATCCATATATTCACACACATAGACAGAGAGGGAAACCCTGAATACTGTTTTCTATTATTTTCATGTACAAGTTACAAATAACAAGCCTCTTTATACCTAAAAACTTACTGTATATTTCCTTAGGACAAGGACACTGTCTTTCATAACCACAGTAGTTATTAAAATCAAGAACTGTAATATTAACATAGTAATATCAATGTTTCTTGACTTTGACATTTTTTGAAAAGTATAATGTCTAAATCTGAATTTTTCTGATGTTTGAAAATGATTACATTTTACATTTAATAACAGATTTGTAACGTGTTAGAAACTTAGTTTATAAAAAAGCAAACCCCAAATTATAATGACAATATTAGAATGACTATTTCCCTACTGCCATCCTTAAGAAAAGCAAGTGAGCCTCTTTTGAAACTCCGACCTTGATGTTAGTCCAGCTCCTTACTGCCGCCTGTGCTATAAGGGCACGACTCATGATCAATTATCAGGGTTGGAACACTGAAAATCTAATATTAATATAATAGGTAAAGATGCAAAATTCAGAAGTACATATAAGTGCATACAAGGATTTGTACATCTGTGTACATCTATAATATATATACATAGAAGACAGTAAACATCACTGTTTCATTTAGTTTAGCATAAAATATCAAAATGGAAAGAATGAATATAACATTTCTAAATTGTCTGACCTTCAAGCAACCTTAACTCCAACCAACATTTAAGGTCTCTTCTTACTGATATAACTATTCAGCAGTAAACTAACCTCCTACTGTTAGCAGCTCATAAAGTAAGCTAGAATCCACTCTTAGATATAATGACAAAAGGCAATGCTTTACTCAATCCTCCTAAACCGAGCCCCATAGTAGTTTAGGCTGTCTGCCTGGGTATAAAACCTGGAGTCCATGCAAAACATCCCAAGTCCACAAGCTGTGAGACACAGGTCAGAGTTCAAATCAATTACAGAGGCTGGAATCTTAAGCACAGGCCACTGGAGCATGACGTCCTTTCAAACAGTCCTCCGCTAGTTCTTGGCCATGAACTGACAGAGAGGGATGTGCAGGCACTGGATGGATATCAAAATGTGACTGTTACTGGGTAGAAGAAATACTGAACACTACAGATTAGACAATGAGGGGCCACACCAAAGGCCCTACCCAGACACAGCACACGGCTCCCCAACAACCTGGAAATACCTGGGCATCCAGCTGAACTATGACAAAGGCCACACCTCAAGCCCACTCTAACTGAAAGCAAGCTCTTCCAAGCAGTGGCACTCTGCAGGCGGGGTCTTTCCATGCTAGAGGAGACTGAGTAATATCCGAGGCTTTCCAACATTGCCTTAACAGAATGGAAACCAAATCTACACAACATAAAGATGACTGACTAGAAACTCAACAGTCTACAAAGACAAAAAAGACAAGACAAACCCCTCAGTATTCCATGCAGGTAATTAACAGAATCTGCAGTCTTTCATCTATAATATTCTTTATTTAAAAAGTAATAAATAAGCTAATAAAAAGGAAAAACATCTTACTGATCAACACACACAAAAAAATGAGTTAATAAGATCAAAGCTGAACCTATTAACATATAAGAGTTTAAAGCAGTTAATATAAATAGCTTCAAAGAACTGAAGTAAAATATATTCCAAAAAATTAAAGGAAACAGTGTTTTAATGAGAGAATAGAAAGTCAAGAAAAACAGAAATTATTACAAAGGAGAACAATCCAGAATCAAAAGTATAATAATGCAAAGGGGAAAAAAATTACTTCATAAGCTTAATCAAAGATTTGAGATTGAAGAGAGGGTCTGGGCAAGCACTGTGACAAAGAAAGTTAAATTAGCACCTGTGATACAGGCATCCCAGATGAGTGTCAGCTCAAGTCCCAGCTACTGCACTTTGAGTCCCACTCCCTGGTAATGTGCCTGACAAAGCCCAGAAGCTGGGCCAAGTGAGGGAGACTAGGATGGAATTCTAGGATCCTGGCATCAGCCCAGCCCAGCCCAGACTAATGTGCCATATGGAAAGTAAACCAATAGATGGAGATCTTTTTTTCCTGACTCTCTATCATTTTGTCAACTCTGCTTTTCAAGTCAAAAAAACAAACATTTGAAAAGAGCAAGGGTCTGTAAATGAATGGCAGGTCAATAGAAATTACCTAACCCAACCACAAGAGAAAGTGAACAATTCAATGAATGTAAACAACACTATAGGTATCAATGAGACAAATCACAGAGCCTTACATGTAATTTGAATACCTGCAGAAGAGTGTGAATAGAGGATGAAAAAATAAAGAAATAAAGGAAAACTGGCCCAAGTTTCCCAAGTTAAGTTAAAATGTCTGACTTAGAGAATAAGAGGTTCAGTAAAACTAAACAAAATAAAAAAAGAACAAGCATGACTCAGAGACATTAGAGTTCCAACGGCTAAAACCAAAAACAATAGGAAAATCTTAGAAGTGGCTAGAGGAAAAGACACATCACATGCATGGGAACAATAATCAGAATGCCTGTTCATTCTCCATCAGAAACAACA